CGATTGGTGCATGAGAAAGAAATACGCGGTGCGCCATTCGATATGGATGTGCTCAATGGCAAGCTTATTGTCGCCATTAATAGGTTTGTCGTTGGATACCCTTTTGTACTATGTTTGAACAATTTTACCCACTGGGTAAGAGCGATTCAAGGAGGGTTCTCGAACTTGCGAGCGAGAGAGCATATGAATTTCAGCTCTGTCCGTTTGTTTGAGTGGACTGCAGAGAAGGAGTTGCGACTGGAGTGCTCTCACTTCAACTATATCACTGCTCTGTTCATCAAAGTGAAGGTAAGCTCTTGTGCTACAGTCTTTTAGAACAGGGAACCTAACCGTTTTTCAGGGTGACCAAGTGTTGGTGGGTGATCTTATGCGTTCTATGACCATATTGAATTACAAAGCAGTGGAAAGCACGTTTGAAGAAGTGGCAAAGTAGGTTCCTCGTTGTTTTTGATGCGCTCATGTTTATGGCAAGCCCTGTCTTTATTTCGTTTGAATGTTTCAGGGATTATCGTGGAATGTGGATGACTGCCGTGGAATTCATAGATGCTGAAACGGCGCTCGGTGCTGAAGCAAGCCATAATCTGTTCACGTGTGAAATAGATAGGGGTGCAGATAATGCTGATGAGAAGCGTAGGCTAGCAGTGAGTTTGAGTTATACATGCTTTTTCAAGGTTAATCACCTGTTGTTGTCATAACTTAGCTCAAATGACTATAGGAAAGCCTTGTACTGTCTGGTTTCAGCTATCCCTTTTCCAATATCTCCCATTATGGTGGTCCAGGCATTGTTTTATTATCAGTTGCGACCCCTCTTGAGTTGAAAAGTGGTTATGGGAATTCTCACCATGTTTTCTCCAAACTGGTGGTTTGAGGAGGGGTGCTGTTCATTTCCAACCTTGGATCTAAGAAATTTCCGTTGACCGCACCCTTGCTATAAGTTCCACAGCGCAACCTCGACCGGGAGCGCTATGCTTGCACTTCGCAGCCGGATATTCGTGTTTCAGGAAGCCGGTATGTTCTATCTGGGAGAGATGGTTAATGTTTTCCAACGAGGATCGCTTGTTTCAAGTCATGTGGACAATCCGCTTCCCATAGAAAAGCCCATCCTTTATGGCACTGTTGATGGCACCATTGGACTTATAGTACAATTGCCGGAGAAATATTTCAGGTGGGGCAGATTTCTTTTCCGTCACTTAGGTGGATCAATCTTTGCATCGCCAATTGTAGAAGTAGAAGTAGTCTCAATGGCACCTCGATCATAATTATCTGCAAACTGTAATTTTCTATTCGTAGGTTCTTCTCTGATGTAGAAAAGGGCGTGGCTAAGGAGACCGACAATTGTATGCGAATAGAACATGCAGTGTATCGTCAGTTTGCTAGTGAGAAACTTGTAGATAAGGTAATTTTGTTTCAAGTACAATATTTCTATTATTTCTTTATTCAACTGATTTTAATAACATGTCGGCTCTACCAGTCAGTCTCTTGGTTTTTGTGAAACCCTATCTGTGTATCTAGTTAAACTGCTTTACTTTAACTGACGATCAATAGATGCTTACTGATTTACACTGAGGAACTTCATCTTCAGGCAGTAGGATTTATCGATGGTGACTTAGTGGAGTCGTTACTGGACATGCCTCGAGAGACAGCTGCAGCAGCACTGGCTGGTATAGAGCGACCAGGTTTGTTATTTAACTTAATTTTTTCAGGTTTTAGCCGTCTTCTAAGCAACCAGGGGGGAGGAGCGACCAACTGGAAGAAAAGGGCCCTTACTGGGCTACTGCCGTTCTCTTCAATATCATGTATTTTCCATATAAGTACTCTCCCACTTGTCGCTGTGGTCACTTGACAATTAAAATTGCAACATGGGAGGAATGAATGATAACGCCTACTACGATAACAAAAATCGGCGGAAGCACGGCTTTTCCAGCCCTAGGCTATAGTTTGAGTTTTGAAAGGAACTCCTGATTGCGACGCGGCACAGCTAGGTGGTAGCTGCAGGTATCTCAGGAAGCTTTTCTCCAATGCGTCGATATGTGACTTAATCGGAATGGGGGTATTGCAATGAAGTTATTTCGTAGAATAAAACTCGTTATCCTTGCTCTGTGTCTACTGCCACATTGGACATACCCACCCGTCCGGGAAGACACGGCTCTTCTCCAACACTGAGGGACAGCGCAGGGAATGAGGAGTTCCGATTTAATTTATGCTCAGAGGCGGTTCTCAGCCAAAGGAATATCATGTTAACCTGAGGCTCAAGCGAAATGGAATACAGGATTGGGGGAGATGATTACCTCAAGCAAAGACCTGAAGCGAGGTAAAAACTAAATATTCATTTGACTCATCCCTCATCCACCCGGTTCCACTGTCGGTCAAGGAGAAAAAAAAACTTTTTCTCCTTGACCTTGGGACGAAAAAAAACTTCGTTAGCTCATAACGGTGCCTAAGAGCTCCTTTAGTCGAGAAAAATTTTCTCGGCTAAGAAGCTCTTAGGCACCGTTATGGGCTCACGAAGTCGGCTGCCGCCCCTTCTGTGGACAAGCCCTCAATGTTGAAAAAGAGCAATGCCTCCTCCCCTTCCCAGCCAATTTATGCCCCATGGGGAAGAGAATATTAGTACTTCAGTTTATTTATGTTGATGATTTATAGATGGTGAAACTGAGGGCTCATCTTCGCCAGAAGAGCTGATCAAGTTCATCGAAGACATTTCTAGAATTCATTAGGAGTCTACCATCTAAAATCGATCAATTGATTGATCAATCTGTACATTGCTTCCGGTTTACATGTCTACAGGTATTATAAGGACATGTTTTGCTTTGTTAGTTCATGTCGAAACGTGTGCAAATATGATCTTTTGTTTTGTTGAATGTTAACTGTTGACTTGTGTTTATTTCGATAAAATCGCTGCAAATTATGTGTCCCGTATAAATATTGAAAGAGTTACCTATCGTACTCTCGCATGCAATTATTTCTNTTTTTTTTTGATCATTTTAATGAGCGAATCTCTGATTATCTGGTATAATCCAGCGAATATATTGATTACTTCATTATTTATCTGTTTATTGCATTTGATAACGGAAACAGTCCTTCACAAATACAAGAGCTTATTTGCTCAGAGGGCCCCGTTGGGCATGAAGAGACATCATTGAAGAAATTTTTAATGGTTATTGGTTGTGAGCATAGATGTTAGAAGGAGATTGAGTTTGGAATTCAAACATCCAGAAAATTCGTGCAGTTTATTTGAGTAGCGTACTTGTTAGAAGACTATCTACCTCTTGGTTGACACAGTTCTTACTTTTATTTTTCTCTTTCATCCTAAATTTTTCTTCCGTGTTGAGTGACCTACTCTTCTTCGAGATGAATGCTCTTCTCTAACCTTTTCGCATTTTTGATCTCAAAGTGAGGATCAACACGGAACAGAAAACCCTTCAACCCATTGACAACCGCATAGCCTGTCGGGTGTCACACCATATCGTAATCTTGGGAATGCGTGGCTCGTGGGTGTTCCTCAGCGAAGCTGCAAAAAGCATTCATTCCCACACTCAGACGCGCTTAGGAGGTGCGGTCACCTATGCGTTAAGTCTGAACGGTCTGGAGTGAAGCGGGTCATGTCTAGCTCTCCGTTAATTGATATGCTTCACTCCTACCTTCCTTTCTGCTACTGAGTGCATATTTCCTGTATGCAATGCCTTGCCGAAGTTTCAGGCACAGTTTACGATGAAAATGGTATCTGGCATTTACGCTCAGGACGAATCTGTGGTCATGGGCCACGGCCGAAAAGCGGAATGGATAGGGAGCATCGGGAGCCTAGAGAGAGGCTTCACCGACGTCTACGCCCAAAAGTGCGTGTTTACCCACGTTTTAGAGGATGCGCATTCGCAATGAGTTCAAATTCAATCAACTAGTGACCCATGACCGCAGTAGATAGCAATTTTAGACCTTTTTGGCATTCTGTAAGCAGCTCCTTGCGCAATTGCACACGGCTAGAAACTCGTCCAAATCCTCCGTTGTGGTGTTCCCCTACGATTCCCTATTCTCGCTACTTTTGAAATTTCCTTATAATTCGCGTGAACAGAATTTTTTTTTGGTTTTCTTTCTTGTCTCCTATGCACTTCGTCTCCTATACTTCTCCAGCAAAACTTCCTCTTTTAGCCCGGAAATGGTACCTCAAATGTCTTGTGAGCTGTGACTTTAGTTAATGCATCAACGATGCAGTCATAGACAAAAAAGTTATTAATCGATTTTTTCTGAATGAAGGTTTTCCTAGTTCGGGGTTATTCAACACCTCATACAAAACATCACCAGAACTAGCAAAAGAATGTGTACAGTAGGACTCACATAACTCCCTGCCCGTGTTCCGATTTCCGACGTTACTACTGTTTTTTTCCGTCTTCATGTCCCCCACTTCCCTCAAACAGGGCATAGTCTTTGACAATTTCTTCGTTTCCTTTTACGTCAAGGCAGTATTAGAGGGAAACAAGCTCGATTTGGTTGTCAGGCATAGATCATTCACAGCCGTTGCTCTTTGTGATGATGACGGTGGTGGTCGTCGTGGATATTTGAGTCGACGATGTGGCCATTATTCGATTGAATGCACTTACCTACCCACTGACTGGAAACCAATTGTTAAAGCGTTATGACTGAGTTATAGTTATTGCTATGCGAATACACGGGGTACCAAGCTGAACTTGCTTTAATGCCAAAGTTTCGATTCTTTTCTTGGGATCACCTCAAAAGTTACTTTGCCGTTTCCTTTTAGGGAAACAACTTAATCCAAATCAAAAATTTGAGAACCATAACGCAATCAATATTTATCAATATGAAAGCATCGATCATCGTTGAGCACTTGGGTACCCCCATGCCGTGTACCCAAGTGCTCAACGATGATCGATGCTTTCATGTGATGCGCCATGTATTCGAAGTCCTTTCAGTTTCGTAGTGGATTTTTGGATGTATGGTTGGCGTATATACAGAGGCTCCCTGGTGTCATGTAGACTTCCCATACGAGTCTGGCATGTACCACTTGACCTCTGAGAGATGAAAGACTCAGTAGGATGTTGTTGATCCAGGACTTGTTTCCCGGACAATATGGGTGGTAACGGCGCTCTTTGACATCTCACACTTCGGCCACTTAAGGTTTCTTAAATGAAAACAACAAAATAGGCGTCGTCATGGGTATGATTGTCCTGCTGTTTTGTCATATGACTTACTTTTTTCTGCGGCATCCTTTCATAATTGGAAATTTTGCTAACTTTTATGTATTCTGTTTTAAATTATAGAGAAGAGGGAGGGGAATCATTTCTCATCAAGACGAATCTGATTGCTGTCGGTGCTGTAATAGATGTTGTCATACGATCATTTGTTGTTGGCACATCTGCTGCTGCTGTTGATAGCCATAATTGTTAGGAGAATATCATTTAGCCATGTCTGACTCATCGATTTTCCCTTATTTAGCTGGATGTATTGATTTCGTTTCGTAATTATCTACGAAGCCTATGAAACTAATAATAGAAGTGTTTTCTTGAGCAGACTACGTAGTCAGACGAGTGCTAAGGAACGCCCATTATGGGCGGTAAGCTATAAACTACATATCTATAAAGGAAAGCCCTGAGCCTCTGCTCAAAGGATCAACAATCGCTTGATTGTACGCAATTTAGTCAGAACCTTGAACCCTCCAGGCCTGAATCGTCTAGGCTTCTCAGGCCAGTATGGATGAATGGCGTGGTTGAAGCTGCCACAGCCCTTCCCTCGTTTTTCATTACAAGGGATTATCCATCATTCTGACCCCTCGAGTACTCTTTAATCTATTATTTGATTCTTTCGCTTACCGTACTCTGCCGGAGGTCAGTGTTTGAGCTTTACCGAAGAGTGTTCGCCGAGCTTCTTAGAATGAGACAAATATAACTAATGAACTTCTTTCTTTCTTTCTTTTCATTACAACTTCTTTTCTTTTTAATTTTCTAGTTTACTGGGAATTTTGTTGATATTCAAAAATATCTATAGTTTCTGATTCATTGGAAAGTATTGCAGAAATGCACATTTAGTTTTTTTTTTCATTTTAATAGATCAATAAACTGGTATTCGACACTGAAAAGGATGAGCTTGAAGTTCAGGGTTTTGATAAATGCCGTTTAGAAGACCTCCACGCATCCAATTTTAATCAGATGACGTTCAAATGCGCCTCCACCAAACGTTACGAGTAGAACGATGTAGTTGTGGAGACTTTGTTTTTCCAAAATTTCTACGATGCTGTTTTTTGTTTTTTCAACTTTTTTTTTACCAGTTCCATTTCTATTTGTTACTGTACGTATTATTATCACTCGGCCGTTTTCATGTGTCTTATGACTGAAATCATCATCTACCACCCTTTTGCGGCGGGTTTCTATTAAAGAAACTTGTTTAAATTACTCTCTAACCATGGTCAAGTAGGAAGGTGTGAAATTAGGAGTTTGTTGTTCCACTTTTCCCTCTCCTTCTTCGTGCTTCGAGACGCCACGACCGTTGTGCAACCCCCCTTCTGCTTCTCCCACCTCAGCGCGAATACTGGTTACTAGTCACATGGTGTAAAATTCCGAGCTGTATACATATAAGCTCGAACTGTCCTTTTCAGTACCCTCAGTCCCGTTTGGGTCTCATAATTCTGGCTCGCATCGTATCGAGTAAGTAGGTAGTCTGATACCAGTGTCCACTAAGCTGCCCCATCGTCCTCATTTGCTCGAAGTAGTCTTCCAACGCTATTACCTCATGAAATGTTACGAGCAAGTAAAGGACGAGTACTTAGGTATGTGTATAATGGCAGTATGCTGTCATATTGTCCCCCTTGGCACGAATCTTATCCATCCCTTCCAAGAAATGATCAGAATTCTAGCTCTTCAGTGTGACTCTGACACTCAGTTCATGGTCATGTTTACGATCAATGCCACATTTCTCTGCCTCAACTCTCCCCTATCAGTTGTTATCATTTTTATGGGACCCCAATCGTTTGTTATCGCATATTTCCGCTCGCCAGCGGTGCAACACAATTACGTTGTTGTCTTCAGTATTTCTCGTTCCTAGTGCTTATCAGCTCCTCTAATCGGGTGTGATTACCCTCTATCATCCAATCCATTACCATGTTCTATAGTCGATATATAAGTCACTCATAGTAATAGTCACTAAGGAGCTGAAGTGCTTCCACCACCCACATTTATTATCAACCATTATCACGGTTTATCAACCAATCACTCGATATCACAGGATGGATGGAGCGACCGCGAAAAGTGACCAACAAGGAAATCATGGAGCCTTCAAGACAATTATTAGTAAGGACCTCTAAGGGCTAAGGATCAGAAATCACTATGTACCGAGTAAACGTTTGTTCTACCGACCAGCTTTATGAATATCAGCTGTCAAATGATCGGTAGCCTTATTACCCTCTGTCGCCCTATCTTTTTCCATACATATTTATTACATGGTAAACTGGTATCAGCCTGTGATATCATCGTCATAATGGAACAAAAGCAATCACATCAGAAACAATTGGTATGCATTTATTAGTGGATATAATAATGATTACAGTAAAAAACGATGACAGATCAATTCCAATGATTTAGGAGATGGTTGTGATAACCTGTTATCTTTTTCGAAATGTTTTCGGAATCCATAGTTTTACTTGTAATAATTCGAAAAATTTCAAGCCGGTCATCCGAATATTTGTATCTGAGCCCTATTTCCATTAGCATCA